TCCCTCTTCCTCCTTTTCTCTCCTTTTCCCCTCCTTCTTCTCCCTCTTCCTCCTTTCTCCTTTTTCTCCTTCTCTCTCTCTCGTCCTCCTTCCTCCGCCCCCTCCCCTCCCCCCTCCTCTTCCACACCCGCCGCTTTCCCAGCCGAGCTTCCCTCCCCTTTCCTCTTTCTTCTCCTCCTCTTCTTCTTCTTCTTCCTTTCTCCTTCTCTCTTCCTCTCTTCTCTCTCGTCCTCCTTCCTCCCGCCCCCCCTCCCCCTCCTCTTCACACCCGCCGCTTTCCCAGCCGAGCTTCCCTTCCTTCCTCTTCTTCTCCCTCTTCCCCCTTTCCTCCTTTCTCCTTCTCTCTCTCTCGTCCTCCTTCTCCGCCCCTCCCTCTCCCCCTCCCCCCTCCTCTTCACACCCGCCGCTTTCCCAGCCGAACTTCCCTCCCTTCCTCTTCTTCTCCCTCTTCCTCCTTTTCTCCTTTCCCCTCCTTCTTCTCCCTCTTCCTCCTTTCTCCTTTTCTCCTTCTCTCTCTCTCGTCCTCCTTCCTCCCGCCCCCCCCTCCCCCCTCCTCTTCACACCCGCCGCTTTCCCAGCCGAGCTTCCCCTCCCTTCCTCTCTTCTCCCTCTTCCTCCCTTTCTCCTCCTTTCCCCTCCTTCTTCTCCCCTCTTCCCTCTTCTCCTTCTCTCTTCCTCTTCTTCTCTCTCGTCCTCCTTCCTCCGCCCCCCCCTCCCCTCCTCTTCACACCCGCCGCTTTCCCAGCCGAGCTTCCCTTCCTCCCTCCAAAGAGCTCCGTCCGGGAATCTATGGAATATTCTCTCTCTAAGAGGGATTATCTGCTCCCTTCCCCCGCCCCCCTCCCGCCCTTCTCCCTGGTTCCCAACCTTCCTTCCCTCCTTCTCTCCCCTCTTCCTCCTTTCTCCTTTTCTCCTTCTCTCTCTCTCGTCCTCCTTCCTCCCGCCCCCTCCCCCCCCCCTCCTCTTCACACCCGCCGCTTTCCCAGCCGAGCTTCCCTTCCTCCCTCCAAAGAGCTCCGTCCGGGAATCTATGGAATATTCTCTCTCTAAGACGGGATTATCTGCTCCCTTCCCCCCTCCCCCTCCCGCCCTTCTCCCTGGTTCCCAACCTTCCTTCCCTCCTTCTTCTCCCTCTTCCTCCTTTCTCCTTTTCTCCTTCTCTCTCTCTCGTCCTCCTTCCTCCCGCCCCTCCCCTCCCCCCCTCCTCTTCACACCCGCCGCTTTCCCAGCCGAGCTTCCCTTCCTCCCTCCAAAGAGCTCCGTCCGGGAATCTATGGAATATTCTCTCTCTAAGACGGGATTATCTGCTCCCTTCCCCCCTCCCCTCCCCCTCCCGCCCTTCTCCCTGGTTCCCAACCTTCCTTCCCTCCTTCTTCTCCCTCCCGCCCTCCCCCTCACGCCCTTCTCCCTGGTTCCCAACCTTCTTCCCTCCTTCTTCTCCCTCCCGCCCTTCTCTCTGATTCCTATTCTCCCTGATTCCCTTTCTCCCTTCCTTCCCCCTTCTCCCTGATTCCTTCTCCCTCCCCCCCTCCACCCCTTTTCCCTGATTCCTATTCTCCCTTCCCCCCTTTTCTCCCCCTCCCCTCCCCCTGATTCCTTCTCCTTCCTCCCTTCCCCCTGATTCCCCCTCCTCCCCTCCCTGATTCCCTTTCTCCCTTCCTCCCCCTTCCCCCTGATTCCCTTTCTCCCTTCCTCCCCTTCCCCTGATTCCCTTTCTCCCTCCCTCCCCCTTCCCCCTGATTCCCTTTCTCCTCCTCCCCCCTTCTCCCTGATTCCTTCTCCCTCCCCTCCCACCCCCTTTTCCCTGATTCCCTCCCCCCCTTTCTCCCTCCTCCCTCCCCTGATTCCCTTTCTCCCTCCCTCCCCTTCCCCCTGATTCCCTTTCTCCTCCCTCCCCCTTCCCCTGATTCCCTTTCTCCCTCCTCCCCTTCCCCCTGATTCCCTTTCTCCCTCCCTCCCCCTTCCCCCTGATTCCCTTTCTCCCTCCCTCCCTTCCCTGATTCCCTTTCTCCCTTCCTCCCCCTTCCCCCTGATTCCCTTTCTCCCTTCTCCCCCTTCCCCTGATCCCCCCCCTGATTCCCTTTCTCCCTTCCCTCCCTCCCCCTGATTCCCTTTCTCCCTCCCCCCTTCTCTCCTCCATAAGGTCTGCTTGATTTTTTTTGTCGTCTGTTTTTTTTTGTTTTGTTTTTAGTCTTCTTTTTTCTCTCTCTCTATCTATCTATCTCTCTCCCTTTCTCTCTCTCCCCCCCCCTCTCTCTCTCTCTCTCTCTCTCTCTCCCTCTCTCTCTCTCTCTCTCTCTCTCTCTCTCTCTCTCTCTCTCTCCTCTCTCTCTCTCTCTCTCTCTCTCTCTCTCTCACCCTCTCTCTCTCCCTCCCCCCCCTCTCTCTCTCTCTCTCTCTCTCTCTCTCTCTCTCTCTCTCTCTCTCTCTCTCTCTCTCTCTCTCTCTCTCTCTCTCTTTCTCTCTCTTTTTTTTCTCTCTCTCTCTCTTTTCTCTTCTCTCTCTTCTCTCCGTGTGTGTGTTTCTGTGCTTTATGATTTCTGCGCGTGTGCGTGTGTATGATTTATGTGTGTGTGTGTGTGTGTGTGTGTGTGTGTGTATGCACGTGTGTGTGTACACGCGCGCGCGTATATATATATATATATATATATATATATATATATATATATATATATATATATATATATATATATGTATATATATATGTATATATATATGTATATATATATATATATATATATATATAAATATATATATATATATATATATATATGTATATATATATGTATATAAATATATATAAATATATATATACATGTATGTATGTATGTAATATATATATATATGTATATATATATATATATATTATATATATATATGTATGTGTATATATATATATATATATATATATATATATATATATATATATATATATATATATTCATTCATTTATTTATTTAATTGTGCGTGTGTGTGTGAATCTCTCTCTCTCGCTCTCTCTCTCTCACTCTCTCTTCTTTCTCTCTCTGTCTCTCTCTGTCTGTCTATCTGTCTCTCTGTCTCTGTCTCCGTCTCTCTCTCTCTTCTCTGTGTGTGTGCGCTCGTGTGTGTGTGTGTGTGTGGATATTCATATATATATATATATATATATATATATATATATATATATATATATATATATTCATATATATATGTTATCAAATTAAATAGAATCTGCAGTATGTTTAAACGTACACAAGCGTCATTTCGGTTTCGCTTATTTTTGCATCTTTCAAGATTATGTTTATTTTTCATTCTTTCTTTTATTTATATACAGATATATATGACGAACAGAAAAAACTTTTCTCCTTTTTTTTTCTTTTGTTTATTTCTTTTTTTTTTTTTTTTTTTTCTTTGTTTTTTCCTTTTTTCGCTCACTAGGTGCGGCGGCGCTTCGTCTGGCGGAGGGGCGAGTCCTGGGCGACGGGAAGGGATCGCCTGCGCTTGGGCCCTTCGCGCTGCTCGCCGGAGACGCTGCCTTCTTCGTCTTCGTCCGTCTCAGAAGACGATGACGACGACGAACACGACGACGACGACGACGACGAAAGATAGTTACAGCAGCTGGACTGGCTGCTTCCTCCGTCCTCCTCGCCGTCTAACCTTTCTTCGTCTTCGTCCGTCTCAGAAGACGATGACGACGACGAACACGACGACGACGACGACGACGACGACGAAAGATAGTTGCAGGAGCCGCAGTGGCAGCTTGACTGGCTGCTTCCTCCGTCCTCCTCGCCGTCTAATCCTTCTTCGGCGCTCGACTGGACCTCCTCCTCCTTGGCCTCCGACAGTTGCAAGAAGAGGTTCCTGGCCCTCACGGCCAACTCGGAGAACCTTTGGAGGTCTAGCTCCTTTCTCGCCTCGAAATGCTGCTCCTCCTCGACGACAGCGATGCCCAGATCGATGAGCTGGGCTCGCACTTGACTCTCGCCAATCACGACGCACGCATTTCTGAGGTGCAAATCCCGGTGAGCAACGCCCTTCGAGTGCAAGCGCGTCAACGCAGCTCGCAGCTACTCCAGGACTTCCTCAAGCTGGTCGAGGGACAGAAGTTGCTCCGTGATGCACTGGTGAAGAGTGACACCAGCGTACTAACTTATGACCGCGAAACGGTCCTCCTCGATGACCACGGCCTCGATCTGCTGCACGCCCTCTACTCCACGGGCGCGCGCGAGGGCCAGCACTTCCCTACGGAACTCGCTGAAGGAACTCTAATTCACAAGCTTGACCACCAAGTTCCTCCCGTTGCCTGAGAAGAGCCGGGCCGAGCCGAAAGCTCCTCGCCCTAAGAAAGTGGACGCGCAGCCCTTTTTCCTCTCGAGGAGGTCAGCTGCAGTCCACCTGGGCACCTGGAGGGTGTCAAGCTGGGTCAGGAAATCACCCATGTCTTCCGCCATTGCGAACTTCGAGGCCATTAGACGGCCGCTAATGAAGTGTACTGGAATATACTGGTGGTATCAGTTCTTGTAGGGAGGCTCTCTCTCGTTCTCCTCCTCCTCTGGTGTCTGTATGTATGCGTGTGAGATAGAGATAGATAGATAGATAGATAGATAGATAGATAGATAGATAGATAGAGAGAGAGAGAGAGAGAGAGAGAGAGAGAGAGAGAGAGAGAGAGAGAGAGAGAGAGCGTGTGGGTGTGTGTGTGTGTGTGTTACCTTAATACAGGTCCCCCCCAAACACGTGTCATTTCTAACTTTTGATAATTCTAAAAATGAAATATATTTTATATTAAATATATAATTGGTCGTGTGTGTGGGTATGTTGTGTATGTGTGTGCGTGCGGGAAGTGTTTGTGTAGTATGTTATATTGTGCGTGTGTTTTAGTGTAATGTATACTTTGTGTGAGTGTTATGTGTGTATG